ATACTCAGGATCGTTTCTATACTTGCATCGACCCGGTGGCGGATGGTCCACGTCCGCTCGACTTCGCTATGGGAAGTGCTGCGGAAGACGCCCGTTCGATTCGGGCCCGGGTCATGGGTTCTGACCACGCTCTTTTTTCTTCTTACCTTGCCTTTCCTCTTACGCTCACAGGTCCTAATCCAAAAATACCCATTCGGAAATCTCCTTATTTCACTGGGTTCCCAGCTGCCTCTCGCCGAGTCTGCTTCGAATGCCGATTTTCGCAGCCTCCGGACCCGATCCAATGTTCCCGGAGCATGGGCGGTCGCACTGCAAACTCATACATATATACAGGTGCGTTTCGTCGCTTGTACCGACCCGGTGGCGGACGGTCCGCCCCTGCGCCTTGTATTTCTTGGGACCCATGGCTCCGCAGACGTCGCCCGTTCGACTCGGGCCCGGGTCATAGCAGTCTTCTGTCTTTTTGTCTTTCATTAGCCGCTATCCTCTATCTCGACCACGTCATTTTCCCTCCCCAGAGTTCAATGCACCCAATGATGGGAGCAGATGTCCCCGTGAGTATTCAAGTGCGCACATCCGGTCCACCCCAGCTCGGTACTCCCCGCTCGCGCATATAATATTGGGGGGCATTTTGCTGGTAATAGCGACCCGGTGGCGGATGGTCCGCGTCTGCTCAGCTTTGTCAATGCAAAGGTATAACATTTCATTGTTCTAAGCTGTTGAACCGGAGCCAGTGACAGACAGAGACACATGCCTAGGCTGATGAATCGGCTGCTCTAGATGTTCCAAATAGTATACAAGCATGTAAGAAACTCCCTGAATATCCAACTCATGTGGCCCAACTTGCCAAGTTGACCTAACCAGAGCAAGACAGAACTACCCGGAGCTAGACGGACCATCACAGAGCTAGACAGACTGTGTCTAGTGGGCTAGACAGAGGGGTCTGTGGAGCTATGTCTAAGTGGCCTAGACTCAGCTAAGTTTAGGAAGGGCCTGAACACAGTGAGTGTGTAGTGATCGCTTACGATGTTCACTGGTATCCGAGAGGCAGTTCACCTTTTCCCCTAATCATAAGGGTCTTGTTACGAGTTAATTATGATTTATGCTATCATAGTAGCAGATATTTATTTGGCAGCTGCCATACATGATCGAGCGACTTTTTTTTTTTTCTCAAAGAAGAGTGGCTGTACCATGGAACTTCTCCAGACCTGCCAAGATTCCCTGCACCCAGGTTGCAGCACTGTCCCGCACCAACAGCCCGGTTAATGCTTCTGTAACCTGTGCTCTCGCTGAGGCATCATCCAGCCACTTTGGAGACTGGTTCGAGCTCCCAGTGCCACCCCATGAATATACAGCGAAAATCTGACATTGCACGAGCACCTCGAGCAAGTCCTGGCTGTTGTCCCTGAGTAAATCATGCATGGCCTGCGCAAATCGAATTTTATAGCTGTCGTGGATCATCCTGCGAGGGGAAGAACACCCCAGATATTGCAGTGTTTCCTTAGCTTTGTAGGGTAGCACCGGGGAGTCAAGACAGCATCCCTGGTGACAATCCTGGAGAAAAGAGATGGTGAGAGCAAGTTGGGCTTCCAAGATGCGCTCCTCAAAAGCTTGTCTCTCCTCTGAATTGGATGTTTGGAAACTGCCGCCATTATGCCAAATGATTTTCCGCGGGAATTCTGTAGGAATTTCGTCCAGCGCGTCGAAGGCTGTCTCGGTGGGCATCAGGGGCTTCAGGATCGAAGGATGAAGAACCTGGGACCATAATGAACTCTGGAGAATTTTCATCTTGACCAGAGCAATAACAGAAGTGGTCAACGGAGATGGCGGCAGTTGAAGAAGTGCCTCGAGTACATCCCCTCCGATGGGTAGGAAAAATCCCTGGTTAAGTATGAGTAGACGCCAGACCGCAACCACGATGTGGTCAAGAGTTCGCGGGAAAAGTGTGGATCCCCCTCTAAGTGGTGTCGACAAGGTGTGCGTGAGGCACTTCCAGAAGTACGTGGCAATGGGGGTTCCATGAGTGAGGTCTGTGAGGACTCCATCCGTCTGTGACACAATGTAATGAATGATGGCCCCATGAATACATGTGGCTGTTTCCGGCCGCCAAAGCGAGAGAAATGCACAAATAATAGTGGCCATGTGATCCTTGGTGAGATCCGGTTTGACTAGATGGCCGTATACAGCCAGCTCCAGGGGTGTCTCCACGTAGTCCAATAAAGGATCAGGAAGGTCAAGATTCGGGGTTATTAGGGTCATCATTGTTTCCCATTGGTACGGAAGGGAGTTCAAAGACCGTGCGTCGCTGATGAAACTGACAGGGATGAGATAGGAGAACAAGAGGCGAAACCTCTGCGCAGCCTGAGCAAATTGTTGGGTGTCCTGTTCTGCGGCTTTCAGAGAGTTCCAAATGCTGTGATTCTCATATGCTGTGCCTCCGCTACCGACCAGGCCCCGGAAGCGGAAGCTTCGGAAGAATATATAGGAGTAAATGGGCTGCAGGTCAGGAGATCGGCCATTTGCAACATCCACCTCGCATTCTGCCAAGTGGTGGCTCGCGGAGCGGAAGTAACTCCAGTTGAGTAGAGCAATGATGGAGTAAATGTAATGGTGCATCCAGTGTGGCGAGTCGTTGACACCACTATAATGAGGTATAGAGCTGGAGTAGGCGAACAGGTCAGATTGCGCGACGATTGGGGACATGGACAGCGCCAACACGCTAGAAATTGCCCACAGGGCTTTGAGACAAGTAGTGGCCCGACTTTTTGCTGCTTCAACTGAGAGGAGTCCATTTTCACAGCTGGCCAGGAGGCCCACGATGCGAGAAAAGAACTGAAGGTCGGGGGTGTTCAACAGCGTGAGGATGCGGTCATTGTACGCCTGACGCATTCCATTCGGACCCCACAAGAGATCCGGAATTGCCTCGACAAAAGGCTCCAGTTCGTTCTCGTCTGCAAGGGACTTGAGGGTCCAGATGAGTGCGCGTCGATCACGTGCATTCCGTGCAGGCGACATCTCCATCGCCCGCTGCTCTATGGCCTCTGCGATGGTCTGCGTTGCACGATCACACGGGCGCCGGAGGCTCCGGATACGATGCCAGAGAAGCCAGCAGGCGTTTGTAAGAGGCGTGCGATAGGGGGAGTCCAGGTGCCATAATGGAGCCAAGCTCAGGGCCGAGTATACACATACGACGATGCCCAGTATTGCGGCCGCCACCGCTGCGATACCGATGTTGATAGGGATAAGAAAGGCGACCAGTCCTGCGAAGAAGAGCACGAGCGATGCGTGCAGGAGGAGCGGGATAATGTCGACAACAGTATGCATGTTGAATTGCTTCAAGCCATAGTACAAGAAAGAGAAGATGCGCGCGCGAATAATCGGCGAAGATCGCATGTCCGCTCTGTGCAAGAAATCGCGTGCCCATTGTTGGAGAAGTGTTGCAATGAGCGCGCAGGTGAGGCTAAGGCCCAGGCTGATGAACCAGAATATATTGCATATAAGTGACGCCGCAGGTGGTGTGAAGTGCGAACTCGGTGCAGGGGGAGCGGTGATGTTTCCACTCATAGATGCTGCAAGCTGCTGCGATATTTGTGTCAAAATTTGCACTGTAGCATCTCCAGTGTCAGGTGTTAGCGTCTTGTAGCTTTCGATGATAAAAGCTGTGAGGCTGGCGGAGAAGAGACCTGCCTTTCACATTCTCAAGCCAGACCATCCAGAAATGTAGAGGAGTGAACTCACAAATATAAGCAGTCCTTCCATGTCGCTTTTCCAGCTCTCAACGAGCGATTTGTCGTATTTCTCAGCTTCTGAGACGTATACTGCCCACAGCTTTGCGGCGGCGGCTTCCTCCGTAGCATCGGTATCTGAGGACGATGTCAGCGATCCTCGACGCATGAAACGGCGGGAATACGTTGGTTAGGAACCGCGCGATCCATTTCCTTTCTGTCGCTGGCGATTGGGAAGATGTGGGAGCAAGGCGGTTAAGCGCCAATAGACATGTGGTCTTGTCGTAACTGATCAGAAATCTTGATTGACCTTGTGTCGATCACAACTCCTCGGCAAGATTGCCGACGCGTTGCTCGTTATTTCACATGGAACATTGTTATCATAAGCAGTGTTGGCTCTTAACCCTTATGGACCCTCCCTCCTGGCTGTTAAGGGTTATTAAGGCTTAAGGCTTAATCGTAAGGGCAGAGGTTAAGGGCTTATATCCATTTTAGGAAATGGTTTCCCACGCTTAATTCTAGTGCTCCAGGTACTGCACGAAGGTACTGGCCAAGGCAATGAGGAGCCACTCTCAGGGTTGCCATTCAGTCACTCACAGACCTGGCTTGCCCTCTGCATCTGGCACGGTAGATGGCATAGCTTTCAAAAGTTCAACCTGATGTATGGTAATCTAGAAAATTTAGTGGCCGCACTGTGGGATGTAGTACTGCTGGAGAATATTCAAATGTCCCATTCCTTCATCTCTCTTTCTCAACTGCATGAATTTTGGTTGAAATCCGGCAGTGCACCACCCGAAGTCCAGCCTCTGCCGGGCCGGATCGTTAAGCCTTAACCGCTCGGAGCCTCCACCGTTAACCCTTAGGGCCTGATCGGGTGCACGAGAATTTTTCCCGAGAATTTTACTAGACTCTCAATCCTGCCATTATCCCATCTCTCTCTGTACTCTAGGACCAACTAAATCTATAATCTATGGATTCTTATTGTGAAGAGAGATATGCGACCCAAATCAGGTGAAGTTGTTGACATTCTAGGCTTTTCTAGCACAATTTATTCTGTGTTCCTTTCCTTTTCCGCTCGCAGGTCTCAATCCAGAAACACCCATTCGGAAATACCCTTATTTTACTGGGTTCTCAGCTGTTTGCTGATTTGCCTCTCGCCCAGTCTGCTTCGAATGCCGATTTTCGCAGCCTCCGGACCCAATCCAATATTCCCGGAGCATGGTGGTCTCACTGCTAACTCACGCAGATACCCAGGTGCGTTTCGTCGCTTGTATCGACCCGGTGGCGGATGGTCCGCATCTGCTCAGTTTTCCAATTCACCAAGTAAAGAAAATTCGGCAGAAGATGCCCGTTCGATTCGGGCCCGGGTCATCTGCACTCGGAAGAATCTTTTTTCACCCCACTTTTTGGGATGCTCGTTGGACCGAAGGCCCTCTCGCTGCCGACAACAGCAAAGAATATCCAACACCGATTGCGAGTGGATTCTGTGGACTTCATGGCCTTCCTTCGTGGATTTACTAGCTTGCGAGTGCACTCCAATCTACGCAACCCTCGCGCGATTCGCATTCCACCATGCACACATATTCAGGTGCGTTTCCATACTTGTATCGACTCGGTGGCGGACGGTCCGCCCCTGCGCCTTGTAGTTCTGCACCGCTGGGTCCCGCAGCCGTTGCCCGTTCGACTCGGGCCCGAGTCATGGCTTTATTTCGATTTGCTCTTTTTGCACCAGTCCCCGCCATCCGACGATCTTCCCATCTTGCTCGCGTCTTAGCCGCCTTCTCATCTATTTTTTCCTCTCTCACTACCGGCTGCGATACCTGGACGGACCCGCGCTCGTGTTCGCCGGCTCCCTCCGCGGCTCAGCGTTTCGAGCTGGAAACGTGTGCATATATTCAGGTGTGTTCCCCTGCTTGTATCGACCCGGTGGCGGACGGCCCGCATCTGCTCCGCTTTCCAGCCCAGGCAGACAAAAGGAAATCCGGCAGAAGACGCCCGTTCGATTCGGGCCCGGGTCATGCGGTGTTATGTGTCGAGATTCTTTTTTTCCCTTCACGTTGGTGTACTTCTCTCAGGTTGCGGTTCTTGGTTAATTCTACTCGCTACTCAAAATACAACGGAAGAATCTGGATCTAAATCTTGCCTAAAGTGCCTAGGCCTCCGGGCTCTCTCCTGCTCCCATCTACGCTAATCCTCGCGCAATTCGCACTCCGAACATGCATACATATTCAGCATCGTTTCCATACGTCCATCGACCCGGTGGCGGATGGCCCGCGTCCGCTCAGCTTTGCTTAGAGTCAGACGCAAATGCTGCGGAAGACGCCCGTTCGATTCAGGCCCGGTCATGCCTGCTATCGACGATTCTTTTTCCCGGCCCGTTGGTGTATTGCCTCTTGGGCTCTCAGGTTGAGGTACTTGGTTAATTCTACTGGCTTTCGAAAATACAACGGAAGAATCATGACATGACTCTTGAATAAAGTGCTGAAGCTGGCTCCTAGCTCAGTCTTGCGTTCCAATCTACGCAACCCTCGTGCCACGCGCACTCGAACGTTAACATTGAGGATCATTTCCACATGTGCATCGACTCGGTGGCGGATGGCCCGCGTCCGCTCAACTTTCCACAAAATGTCGTTGAAAATTCTGGGGAAGACGCCCGTTCAGTTCGGGCCCGGGTCATATTTCTTGCGTTCGACTTCCTCTTTTTTTCTTCAGTTCCCGCCATGCGAAATTCTTCTCGTTTATAACCACCTTCTGAGCTAGTCTCCCCGATGTACAGGATGCAACCAAGCTCTGCTATGATGTTGGCAATTTTAGCAACCCAATCAGTGTTCACGGAGCGTCATCGAGCTGACTGAAAACTCGCGCATATAGTCGGGTGAGTTTGATATCTGGTATCGACCCAGTGGCGGATGGTCCGCGTCCGCTCAGCTTATCCCTTATTCATCGATTCTGCGGAAGACGCCCGTTCGATTCGGGCCTGCCAGGTCATGAACGATGATCTACGCCGTTTTTTTTTCCTCCTCCCTAATCAATGTCAGGTCCTCCACAGTGCGGCCCAATTTCCTTTACGCAGTTTCTTCGCCGCTTCCGCACTATCTTGGCCACCTAGGTTTCCCGCTCTCAGAGAATCGCGGCGCCGATATGAATTCATGAGATTAGCTCCGCACTCTCACGCTCTTTTGGCTCTCGCGTTCATCTTCCTGGTCTCGATTTTCTAAATGGACGTTATTCGTGCTGCGGGTGGAAGTGGGAGGACTCGGTGGCGAAGGGTTTCGCGTCCGCTCTACTTCGAGATGCTTTAATGTCTTCAGCGGAAGGCGCCCGTTCGATCCGGGTCCGAATCATAGCCAGGTCGTGATTGCTTGCCTTTTTGTGAAAAAAGAAAAAAAAATGGTAATGCTGCTCAAAGGCGCTCCCAGAAATCTTGACATTGTTCCTGGGTTCTCCTGGAAATTGCATCGGACGGACGTCGTGCTCGTGTTCGCTGGCGTTCTCTACATACAGTGTCCTCCGCGGCTCAGCGTTTCGAGCTGAGCACGCGTGCATATATTCAGGTGTGCTTCATGCCCTTTACCGACCCGGTGGCGGATGGTCCGCCCCTGCGCTTTGTTACTCCTGTAGGCATTGGCTCCGCAGACGCCGCCCGTTCGACTCGGGCCCGGGCCATAAACGCTGATCCCCGCAGTTTTTTTCCTCTTCACTGATGAATGTCAGCTCCGCTCGCGTTCCACCCAATTTCTCGACGCAGTTTCTTCGCCGCCTCCGCCCCATTTTGACCGCCTAGGTTTCCCGCTCTCAGAGCATCGCGCCGAGATGATTTCCTGAAATGAACTCCGCTCCATTGCGCACAAGCGCACTCGACCCTCCGTCAAATATCCACAAAGGCGCGCAGTTCGGGCGAAAAGCCGCGCACCTATGCAGGTGTGTTTCCTTCCTTGCACCGACCCGGTGGCGGACGGCCCGCCCCTGCGCCTTGTGGTCGTTGGACCACATGGCTCCGCAGACATCGCCCATTCGAAGAATACTCATTCAGAAGTTGCGCACGTATTGAGCCATGCTTCGTGCATTATATCGACCCGGTGGCGGATGGTCCGCATCTGCTCAGCCTTCCACACGAAAGCAAATGCTGCGGAAGATGCCCGTTCGACTCGGGCCCGGGTCATCTGTCTGCACTCCGAGCGTTTTTTTCTCCCTCCACTTATTTGGAATGCTCGTTGGACCGAAGGCCTCTCGCTGCCGCCAAGAACAACAAAAAAAAGATCTAACACCGATCGCGAGACTCCCTGGGACTTGCATGGCCTTCCTTCCTGGACTTACTGGCTTGCGAGTGCACTCCGATCGACGCAACCCTCGCGCAATTCGCACTCCAACATGCACATATATTCAGGATCGATTCCACACTTGTATCGACCCGGTGGCGGATGGTCCGCGTCCGCTCAGCGTTCGACAAAGACGTTGATCTTGCGGAAAATGCCCGTTCGACTCGGGCCCGAGTCATCACTGCCCATATTCCATAATCTTTTTTTCACTGCCCGCCATGGTAAAAATTCATCATCCTGCTGGGATCTTAGGCGCTCGTTCAGCGGTTCCCCCGGCGTAGGAGAGGCAACCAAGCTCTGCTGTAATGGGTTAGCTATTTTCGCAACCCCCGTCAGTGTTCACGGAACCTCATTGTGCTGACTGAAAACTCACGCATATATTCAGGTGTGCTTCACGCTCTTGACCGACCCGGTGGCGGACGGTCCGCATCCGCTCAGCCTTCCGAGCCGTACAGAAGAAGGGAAATCCTGCGGAAGATGCCCGTTCGATTCGGGCCCGGGTCATTCGCACTCGGAGCATTATTTTTTCCCTCCACTTATTTGGATGCTCGTTGGACCAAAGGCCCTCTCGCTGCCGTCAAGAACAACAAAAAAAGATCGAACACCGATTGCGAGCGGATTCTGTGGACTTCATGGCCTTCCCTCGTGGACTTACTGGCGTGCGAGTGCGCTCCAATCTACGCAACCCTCGCGCAATTCGCACTCCGAACATGCACACATATTCAGGATCGTTTCCATACGTACATCGACCCGGTGGCGGATGGTCCACGTCCGCTCGACTTCGCTATGGCAAGTGCTGCGGAAGACGCCCGTTCGACTCGGGCTCGGGTCATGAACGATGATCTACGCCGTTTTTTTTCCTCCTCCCTAATGAATGTCAGGTCCTCCAAAGTGCCAGTGCCACCCAATTTTCTCTATGCAGTTTTTCGCCGCCTCCGCCCTATTTATCTCATGCAGTTTCACTCTCCAATTCATTCTTCGGAACTCACTCAACGTCGCGCATGTATTGAGGTACGCTTCGTGCGTTATACCGACCCGGCGGCGGACGGCCCGCGTCCGCGCGGCTTCACTGAGATCCAGATGAAAATGCTGCGGAAGACACCCGTTCGACTCGGGCCCGGGTCATGCGGTGTTATCCACCGAGGATTCTTTTTGCCCTTCACGTTGGTGTACTGCTCTCAGGCTGCGGTCCCTGGTTGATTCTACTGGCCGCTCAAAATTCAACGGAACAATCTTGATGCAAGTCTTGCGTAAAGTGCCTGGGCCTCCGGGCTCTCTCCTGCGCGCCAATCTATGCAACCCTCGCGCAATGCGCACTCCCAAAATGCATACATATTCAGGATCGTTTCCATACATGCATCGACCCGGTGGCGGATGGCCCGCGTCCGCTCTGCTTTGCAGAGATCTAGATGCAAATGCTGCGGAAGACGCCCGTTCGACTCGGGCCCGGGTCATTACAACGAACGATCTTTTTTTCCCTCCATTTACTTGGAATGCTCCTTCAACGTTGGACCGCGATATGCGCACCAATTCCTCTCGCTGATCCAACACCGGTTGCGAGGGGATTCCCTGGGACTTCATGACTCCTTCCTGGACTTACTGGCTTGCGATTGCACTCCGATCGACGCAACCCTCGCGCAATGCGCACTCCAAAAATGCATACATACTCAGGATCGTTCCTATACTTGCATCGACCCGGTGGCGGACGGTCCGCCTCTGCAACATGTACTCGACAGACATCGCTGTCGCAGACGCCGCCCGTTCGGCTCGGGCCCGGGTCATTCCCGGCTATCCACGATTCTTTTTGCCTTTCACGTTGGTGTACTGCTCTCAGGCTGCGGTTCTTGGTTAATTCTACTGGCTATCGGTAATACAATGGAGGAAGGGTGACCGAAATCTTGCATAATGGGCTTAGCACTAGACTCCAATCTACGCAACCCTCGCGCAATTCGCACCCCAACATGCACACATACTCAGGTACGTTTCCATACTTGCATCGACTCGGTGCCGGATGGTCCGCATCCGCTAAGCATGCGTGAAGGACGACATCGTCTAGTCGTGCGTAAGACGTCCGTTCGATTCGGGCCCGTGTCGTGTAACGAGTGTCAACAATTTTCTTTTCTCTTCCGTTTTTGAATACTGGCAGGTCATCCAAAGTTCCACCAAAAAGTCCACATTTTACTGAGAATACGGCTCTGGCTCGACATTCTTCCTTACCAGGTTTATTTATGAGGAAACTTCAAGTCGAGCCACTCACTGCTACTTATTCACACAAGCAAGCGCCGCTTGATACTGCTGATGTTCAAGTGCGCTTCGTGCATTCTACTGACCCGGTAGCGGACAGTCCGCCTCTGCGCTTGTTAAGTCGAACGCGCCGAATTCTTCGTACAGGCAGAAGCCACCCGTTCGACTCGGGCCCGGTTCATTCTTGTGGGTTTTTTTTTGTGCTCTCTTCTACGCCATCTTGCTCGTCCTTTACTCCTTCTTGCTCGCTGGCTTCTGCCCCACGCTCACATTTTCTCACCCAGGTCGTATTAATCCCCTGCTGATATTTCTGAGCCTCGAGTTATGCAGGTGCGTGTCTACGTTAGTATCAACCCGCAGGCGGACGATCCGCATCCGCTGAGCATACGCCGATTAGGACCACATGAATTCATGCGGATCATTCGACTCAGCCCCGCGGCATGGTTATTAGTTGCAATCACTCTATGAACACCGCGCAATTCGGATGAGCCGCGGGCGTACTCAGGGTTGATTACTCGCGCCCATCTCCATTTTCATGCTGGACGTTATTCGAGCTCCAGTTGGTAGTGGCAAGGACTCGGTGGCGGAGGGTTTCGCGTCCACTCTACTTAGAAGTCGTGGGTTGCAAGTTCCGTGGAAGGCGCTCGTTCGATTCGGGCCCGAGTCGTGTGAAAGTTGATAGTTGCCTTTTGCTCTCCCTTTGTTGTGCCTTAGGACTCAAGCGTCCGTTCAAGATATCCTTTGTACGGGGTTCTCAAGCTGCCCAGTGCCAATCTTGCTCTCGTCTGTTGTGCCCCCTACAATGCCTCTGCTATATTGGTTGATTCTTCACGGAGGCAGATTGTTCACTCTGAATAGTCGCGCATATAATGAGGTACGTTCCCTCCGTGCATCGGCCTGGTGGCGAACGGTCCGCCCTAGTCTCTCATAGACAGACGCTACAGACGAAGTAGCACGTACCTCGCATGTCTGTAGGTCCGCCCTGCACGCTGTGGAGCTCTACGTCCCATCCCTCTGCAGTCGCCGCCCGTTGGCCTCGGGCCCGGGTCGTGTACTTGACGCTTTCTTTTTTCTTCTTCAATGCCGCCCCACGACAATCTCCTCATCTTCGTGGGGTCTTGGCCGCACTTTAAATTTCACCGTTTGCCCGGCGTACAAGGTGCGATCAGGCTCCGTGTAAGGGGTTAGAAATTGTTGCAATCCCCGTTAAATCTTGACAAAATCTCATTGTGCAACTCTCGCAGATGTTCAAGTGCATTTCTGTTCTAGGATAGACCCGGTAGAGGATGGTCCGCCTCAGCTATTCTTACAAACCAATCAAGGAGTCCTGCGGAAGATGCCCGTTCGACTCGAGCCTGGGTCATGAATTGTCCTTCCTGATTTTTAGATTGTTCGACTTTTATGTCGACGGTGCTCGCGGAGCTGGACTCGGAAGTATGATAAACAACCTTCCGGGATGTGCAGCCCTTCTTCCGGGAGAGGTGCTACGAAAAATCCAATGGAGGGATTAATCTTTGGCAAAGAGGTACTGTATTGGATATCAACCCATTGAAATATTGCGCAGATTGCCAGATATCTCAGTTGATGCTTGGGAACTATCCGGTCCGTGTGGGACACAGTAGGATTTTGATCAACTCGACAAGGACTCCGACTCTCCGCACGAAGGAATCCAATAAATACAAGATGAGATATATTACTGAAAGTCGGGGGCGGTAGTAGCTAACATAACAAAGTCACTAGTGAGCCTGGGCATACCAGAAGTGTCCATCTCCATGCTCAGCCTCTTGTACTCTCCAGTGTGTCTCGATATTGCTGGCAGCCTATGAAAAATTCAACTTCAATAACATGTCTTTAGGACGAAACATACCGATCTTGGTCGTTCTGGTATATTGTTGCAAAATTGATTCGTAGGGGTCCTTTTTGTCTCTCAAGATCACCCATGGCCTGTGATCAATTGAGTTCAATAATTCTCCCAATCCGATAACATGTAAGGACTCACCGATTTCGGCCGGACTGGGGCAGAGGGAGGATGTGCCCCGTTCGCAATGAGTAGTTGAACTGTAGATTCGTGACCCCAAGCGAAGGCCGCCTGCAAAGGTGTTCCATAGTGTCCAGAGGAAGTGATAATGGCACCACTGTCAAGGAGCAGTTGGACAATGCCCACATGTCCTCGGACCGATGCTTGCCATAGTGCGGTGGTGTCATTGACTTGCTTGTTCACATCGGCAAGACTGTCAATGAGGAGGCAAACCACTCCCTCATGTCCCCAGGCAGAGGCAGCCTGCAGAGCTGTTCCATGTGGCCATACTTGAGCATCAACATCAGCCCCTTTCTCAATGAGGATTTGAACTACAGGCTCATGACCGAACAAAGATGCAGCCCATAGAACCATTCCATCCTCTCCTCCCTGGCCGTTGACATCAGCTCCTTTGTCAATGAGGAGCTGAACTATAGACTCATGACCATACACAGCTGCGGCCTCCAACACTGTTCCATATGGCCCTCCTGGAGCATTGACATCAGCCCCTCTCTCAGTGAGGAATTGAACTACAGGCTTGTGACCATACACAACTGCAGCCTGCAGAGCTGTTCCATATCGCCCTCCTTGAGCATTGACATCAGCACCTTTCTCAAGGAGTAGTTGAACTACAGGCTCATCACTATACTGAGATGCAGCCTGCAGAGCTGTTCCATATGTCCCTCCTTGAGCATTGACATCAGCCCCTTTCTCAAGGAGTAGTCGAACTACAGGCTCATGATCGAAATAAGATGCAGCCTGCAAGGCAGTTCCATCATCTCCTCCCTGGGCATTGACATCAGCCCCCTTCCCAAGGAGGACTTGGACCACTCTCTTATGTCCCTCAGCACAGGCAGCCTGCAGAGCTGTTCCATCTGGCCATCCTCGAGCATCAACATCAGCCCCTTTCTCAAGGAGGAGCGGGATCACTCTCTCATGTCCCCTCAGAGATGCAGCACGCAGAGCTCTTGCAGCCTGGGCATTTACATCAGCCCCTTTCTCAATGAGGAGTTGAATGATAGGCTCGTGACCCTGTTCGGATGCGGCCTCCAGAGCTGTTTTAGACTCTCCTCTTCCATCCACATTGCCACCATGCATAATCAGTAACTCAACCATTTCACAGTAACCATAAAATGCTGCAACAGGCAATGCAGAGTCATCACTGCCTGCATCCATGCCTTGATTCATCAGGTCAATAGCTATCTCCATCAGGTTTGCAGCTGCCGAAATGCACAGCAGTGAAGGTGATGATGGCACCATGCGACAATCCCAAGGGGCTGCTTGGGTGGGGAGCCACTGGTAGGGATGGACACGGGTTTTTCATCGCTTTTATGTAATCACAACATTGAGCTCGCCTGTACAATTTTTTTGAGCCCAGAAGTAGCACAATCCGTGAAGAACTGACTGAGTTATGGTTCTATCAAGTTTGGTGCTGGAAATGGAAACGCTGCTGTCTCCAATAGCAAATTTAGCGCCTAAACCCGCGGGTCCGAAACCCGCGGGTTTCGAACCATGTTCAAAGGTCCTGTCACATATATATGTGACCTTGGGGTTTCAAACTTGTTTTAATCATAACTCAGTCAGTTCTCAACCGTTCTGGATGTTTTTGGGCTCAAAAAATTCGCAGAGTCGAGCTCTACGTCGCCACTACATAAAACCCGCGGGTTTACCCGTGACCATCCCTAGGAGCCAGAAGGATAAATGAGACCAATATGGATTATTGTTCAGAAAACATTCAATTTTGGTTCGAAGATCTTTCTGTGTAGGTGCTTCCACAGCATGTAGAAGGCAGTACTGGCTATATGCAATGAATGGGTGCAACTTGAGAAGCTCTTGTACTGCTCCATGCTTCAAATGGTCCACCCTGACATGTAAAAATTCCGAAAAGCATAAATACTCCAGACAGCTCGAGGCAATCATTGTGTGAGCATCAGGAAATTTCAATGATTGGATAGCATCAAAATAGCCCTGTGTGGTGTAGTGGATGAGACGGACAACAGACATTGCCTCATCTACAATGATCAGCCCTGCACAGACCGATAGAACAATTGTGATGTCCAACAGATTATCTGAATCAAGACTGGTAGCATTTGGTTCAATAGCCAGGGCCTCCCGAAGCTCATCTACTGTCAAAGGCCGCTTTGCATAGGCCACCCAGGTCAATGCTTGGAGGGCCAATTGTTTATCATCATCATTCTGGGAAAGTATCAGGTTTATAGCCTCATCATATGTGCAGTTCAAATCTGTTGGTAGATGCTGAAGAGCCTCACGAACTGCCTTGACCGTATTCTTGGTAGCCAGAGTGTCTGTGTGCCATTTGGCCATCAAAAACCTGCATCACGTACTGTTAGTGGCCTTCAAGACTCAGTAGTGACAATGCATACATTCCCTGTGCATTGCTGGTTAATGTAGCTTGAATCTCATCTCGCAACTCTGGCCGGGTTTGGACATGCTTGGATAATTTTGCCGACTTTCGAATTTTGTTGTCCACGTAGTGGTGTATATCATCGTCTGTTGCATGTATTTCGAGCCCGACTAAGTCCGGGAAGAAATCATTCAGAGAAACATGAGGTCTTGCGGTCAACATCAAACTCGTAGTGGCTCCCAGCAGTTTGGACAAATATCCAAGCAAGATATTGCGCTGGTCTTCAGGATATTCGTCTAAAGCATCAACAATGAAGTAGCTCCTCGAATGTTCTGCCACAGCAGATTGAAGCATATCAAACACCTCATCCTGTGAGGGCCGGGTGTCTCGCAGCCAATGATGTTTGTACAGGTAATCCACCGCAGGAGAGATGGATTTATCAACCATAAACTGTTTCCAGAGACTAGCCAGGAGACTTGTCGAGGTCTGAATCTCTGTTTCCTTGTGGTTCAGATAAATGCAAGCCACCCCGGTGTTGCTCTGTCTGAATTTAGACCTGAGGTGATTCACCACCAAGGACCTGGCCAGCAGTTGAGAGAAAATTAAGGGAGGTAGGAAGCCCCAGGACTCACGAAAGGACAGTCTTGCCAGCTCCCGCTGCTCCCCCCAGGAAGTCAGAACTATGGGAAAGTAGCAAGCCTGATACACATACGAATTCCCTTGCACCACAAAATTCCTCCAGCATGCAACTCCCAGTTCTGGAACTGAGGATCTGACAGAAGCCATTGCCCTGTTCCTTGCTGCCAAGTATGGAAAATGTCTGCCTGTCGCTGGAAAAAATTCAGTGAAGTTATCCAGGTGAGAATTTGTTCCTTTTTGGCCACTGTACTAGTGGTTCATCAATGCCCGGAGAGTCAACCACATGGACTGACGATTATTGCGCTCATGTTGCTCACGGGCATTCTCCGCTACCGCTGCGAGAATCCCTAGAAAAATAATGTTGACAACATCCTCCGAATAGACCTGGTAATCCACTCACGATCATTTTTCTTTTGTTGCTCTGAGATGCCGAATGTCAGCAGCACCAGGGTAGAGAGTCTACGACACTGACCATCATGGTTCCTCTTCTGCTCCTGGTTGGCTGCCTGATTTACATCCCTGATCAAACCTGTTAGCACGTAATATGTTATATATTGACGCACTCACGAGTTCTCCATCACCACCCATACAGTGAGCAATGACTTGATTGATTCGAATTCTTCCAGATACTCCTTTATTTCCTTCT